ATTGTACTCGGGACCAACACCTCTCTGCCAAGATCCCTTGAAGATTAGGATATCGTCCTTGTACCCCTTGTCCGAGTCAGGAAGATGGGTTACAAGGTACATGGAAGGGTCCCTGGCTTTGAGGTAGAAGTGTTGGTGAGGCATGACTCTAAGGAGGGAGTAACAGAAAAGGAGATCATTGAGCCCAATATTCACCCCGAGGCGCCTATTGAGCTCTAAGACCCCCATGATTATTCGAAAGACGTTAAGACAGCATTGCCCAGGGAAGAGGCGAAAGCGAGAGAGGAATTGAAGAAGCAGGGGGTAAAGGAAACCTAATTCCACCCTCTATGATGGCCTTGGTATAGAAAGGCATGTCATCCTCGGCCCCGAGGGTGGATGAATGCAACAATGGGTTGAAATCCAATACATCTACACACGGAGGAATGTCGTACTTGGCCCTAAACCTATCGATCTGCTCCTCGCCTTTCACCTTGTATTTCCCTGACCCCGAAGGACCAACCTGAGGATTCTCGGGAGCAGGGCGACGACGAGGCATCACTAAAAAAAGAAGGAAGAGGGTATTTTGTTCTTGAAAGCCCCTGAGGAAGTTTCCCGAGGGTTTAAATCACGACGTGTCGAGCGGATGACACTTCCAGTCAATCGGAAAACAAAAAAGACCAGGAGGACGAAAAGAAAGAGGGTTCTGAAACTCACCCGAACGTCAAAAATGGAGTTTTTTCTGGAAAAAACCTTAAAACAACTCCCTCCAGAAAGTTCAGGAATCAACAATGGGTCTGCTGGCTCTGAGATTTTGAGAGAAAGGGCAGTCGACGATGGCAGAAGAGACAAGAACTCCGGCAAAAATCAAGAAGGCGTACTCTGGATGAAGTTCGAAATGGCAAAACGATGGAAACCAGAGAAGAACCCCCTNAATCAACAATGGGTCTGATGGCTCTGAGATATTGAGAGAAAGGGCAGTCGACGATGGCTGAAGAAACAAAACTCCGGCGAAGATTCAAGAAGGCGTACTCTGGATGAAGTTCGAAATGGCAAAACGATGGAAACCAGAGAAGAACCCCCTTTATATAGGGGCAAATTTTCATCATTGGGCGGGAATACCGAAACGGCGCATTTAATGCGCACGATATCCCAAGTCGGGGAAAGCGGCTCGAGGCCATAATGAAGGACGGGTGGCAGTTGGGAAACCCTTCGTCTCCTTACAACGCGTGTCCTCGGTGTCAGAAGATCGAAGGCTGGGGGGCAGTTGATGGGACTCTTCTGAAAAGCCCTATGATGAAGACACGTGTCCTCGGTTTGCTGGAACAACGTTTCTTGGATTTAAGCACCATCGGCAACGAGTGTCCTCGCCGCCGAGGGTACCTCTCATATAGGATCATGCATTCGGTATATTATACAACAACACGTGTCCTCGGTCACCCATGCACCTCGGAAGCATACCTCCCTCGGTCCCCGAGATGAGCCTTTCCTCGGTGCCGAGAGTTACTCCGTCCTGGACGCTTCCTCTACTCCAGGATAAGCTATTGACGTATAGGTCACTAGCCTAGGCTTGTCTAGGCTGCTCATCATGACCTCGTCTTACACAAGTAATGTCAGAANACGAGTTTTTGAAGGCCACAATTAGGAAAAAACTTCAGAATATATCTTTCAAGCAGGGTAAGGTCATTATATTATATCAAGGGATGTGCACTTGTTGATAGAGAACACTTGTAATGTGAGAAATATGTGGGTACATTTGTAGTATGTACAACGAACAGTGATCATGTGAGAAATATGTGGATATATTGAGCATATACAACTAATATTTTTGTACTATATTTTGAGATATTGAAATATTACTATTTAAAAATGTGATCAATCGATCCTAAAATGAAATTTCTAAACAAAAGACAAATAAAATTAGAACAATTTCACATTAAAGTACTAAAATTTAGATAGAGAAAAATTACCATTGTACCCGACCCTAATGTTTCAAATCAAATTGGACGAATTAGAAACATTAGCCACCACAATTACAACCCAAATAAATAAAATTTGACAACTCATCAAAATTGATTTATCTTCAAATCCTATAGAGATAATTTCATTGTAGTGTGTCAAACAGGAGTTTTGAAAGACAAGATGGGAACTATATCTAATCTCTAGGTCACTTGCTGTGTAGGTAAGGATTTATATCAAAGTTAACAACGCATTTAGGTGGGACCAAATAAGTAGTTGAAGGACCAAAATTTACACAAAACATAGTTCATGAGTTTCATCGACACAAATAGTATTTTATGAGTCAAATAAGTAGTTAACTCTAATATAATTCTAAAGTTGTTTTCTTTCTATTCTACTTTCTCATAAAAGGAAAGTTTAGATAATTTTCAATTTTTTCTTTCAATATATTGGAATACNTATGAGTCAAATAAGTAGTTAACTCTAATATAATTCTAAAGTTGTTTTCTTTCTATTCTACTTTCTCATAAAAGGAAAGTTTAGATAATTTTCAATTTTATCTTTCAATATATTGGAATACATCTAGTAGAGAATGAAAAGAATAACCTAAGAATTAGACGAAAGAATATGGTACGATACAAAAATATTTACAAATTTGAAATAAATAAAAGCATAGTCAAAGATATGACTATAGCATCATCATATCATTCAACCTCTTTTTTTTAAGTTATTTTCTTATTGGTCTAGCATTACTGCTCGAGTGAGAGACACATAAGCTTATGTATTATTATTCTAATATCTTCTTGGGTAAATTAAACTAAACAGAAAAGAATAAACATTTAATTTTGTATCACATTGTTACCTTTTTATCTGATTGAGGATATTATGTGAAAATTTTAATTTTAATGGTACAAATTAAAAGTAGGGTTAATTGTATTGAAAGTTCTCAAAGTATGAAATTTGTCTCATTTTAGTTCTCAATATTTTAATTACATTATTTTGGTCTCTGAAGTATTGAATATGTTTCTATATAGTTACTCTTGCAAACAGTGTCCAGATTGCTAACAATTTTTTATCATAAAGTTGTCACATGATACTTAAATATAGATAAAAAAATAATTTGGATAAGTTTTGATCAAATTTTTACTCAAATTTTGGTTAAATACCTACCTAAATTATACAGTTTTGATCACGAATAATTCAAATTTTGATAAAAAAACTACCCATATTACAATTTTTTTTGTTAAGAGCTATTCAAATTTTGTTTAACAACTATCAAAATTATTTTTATCCATATTTAACTATTACATGACAAGTTTATGATAAAAAATTAGTAGCAATTTGGACATTGTTTGTTTAAAGGACCATATAGAAATATATTCAATATTTCAGGGATTAAAATGATACAATTGAAACATTAAGAACCAAAATGAGACAAATCTCATACTTTAGGGACTCATAGTACAATTAATNTCAATATTTCAGAGATTAAAATGATACAATTAAAACATTAAGAACTAAAATGAGACAAATCTCATACTTTAGGGACCTATAGTACAATTAATCCTTAAAAATATAAGAATCTTTCGGGGTGTTAAATGTCATTGACCCCCTCTTCGTCTTATATCTGGATAGACAGATACATGGAGAGATTTTGCTAAACCAAAGGCCAACACAACACTGGAAATAGCCCGCTCTGCTACACCCTCCAGTCTATATCTATCCTCGGTCCTTGCTCAAGAGCTCAACCGTTCTTCTCTGTCATTCAAGCCCACACCACTCTTCCAAGACGTCCAACACTTTCTCTCCCTACCCGTTGGTGTTACGGTGTAGAGGAAGAAAATCAATCAATTGGGTTGATGTTTCTTTGGCAAAATCTGGGTCTTGCACAGTTGTTGTGGCTGCTGAAACTGAGGTAGCAGAGGCTCTGCAAGACGAAGATGATGTGGTGGGGGAAGGTGGTGTTGCTTCAACTCCTCCAACGAAGCCCAAGAAAGGCAAAGCTGCACTGCCTCTGAAGAGGGATAGAGTATGTATTGAACTCATTTCTTGTATTTGTACATGTATTTGGTTATTTGATAAGTAGGTTTTGCTTGACTTCCGTGTTAATCTTAGATTTTATTTTCAGAATTTCGAAGTTGAAACCTTGTAGTTCTGCCATTCAATTGTTAATTCGTTAATTATTATTGTTGCTCTAGATTTATTTCAGTTATTTTTAGACATATCTAGTGATTGACAAGTAGTTTTGCTTTATTTTCATGAGCAATTGCTTTTGTTCGTGAAATTTAATCTCAAAACCCCTATCGTGTTGCCATTCAATTAGGACAGAGAACTTATAAAATTTTATCCCTTGAATTGTAACTTATAAATACATTTAAGGTTTGCAGTATTCACTTGATTTTCTTCTTTATTCCCAACTAAGAGTTTTAGATTGAAAAACGATTTGGTATTACCGTTGAAATGACATTGACACAATGCACGTTAGCTCATGTGCATTTGTTGTGATTGAGGTACTTGTGGCCTTTGCTTGAATTCTTTTTTCTTAATTATGATGCTGAATTTGACCTATGGAAACAATTTAGTACTATCTCTGAAGTTTGTCCAGAGGCAGACTAAGTTTCGTGTCTCCTTCTGGTTTTTGTATAGAAAAATATAGTACATCAAGAAAGATTGGATAAGAAATCCAATCATAATCAAGGGAGCATAAATTGAAAAGCAACAAACTTTAAGAAACCTACAAATCAAAAGATGCTCTCTATCCCACTACTATAGCAAAATGCTATAGCATTCACGTATTAGCAAATTGCTTTTAGTGAAGCATAGCCTAATTTTGCTTTTGCCTTTTAAACTGCAACGGTTCAAGGGTTGAAACATTTAATGGGATTTTCTTGATTTAGGCCACAGTTAGTAATCTATTATAAATATGCAAAATATTGGAATAGCAATTTGGGCATATCATTATAACAGACGTGGGTCATAAATAGTTGTTGCCCAGTTTGTTCTTTGTTAACGAGAATGCTAAAGAAATGGACTAGTATAGACACGATGTGACATTATTTGCACAGGATAACTGTCCATATAGTTAACTCAGGGTTGTTAGTCTGATGCTTTACCACTTCACGAGGCATTTATTCACACAGCCCATGCATTAGTTTTGAGTTTTGCTTTTAGTTTTAGCTTGGTTATTAGGTTCATGCAACAATTAGTTTACCATTTCTAGTTCTCTTATTCTTCAACAAATTACATGAACTATGCTCTAGGTTTGCACTTATTACACTCTGCTTGTGGTATGAAAATTTCCAATCGACCTCAATAAACTAATGTGGTCAAATGACAAAGTTGAGAGAAACTGTCCAATGACCATTTTACCCTTTGAATGCCAAAAACTCAAAACCCAAAGTTCAAATGCAAACCACCGAGATCGCAACATAAAACCCAATCCAATAGGGATTGGCGTGGAGCCCTATTGATGAGGGTAAATCGAGGTGGTTGGAAAGGTCGTTTGAGGTAAAAGAGGTGAGGAATGTGGTAGAGATAAGGCTCTACGTCCGGATGATTTTAGTTTAACTTTTATCAAGATTGTTGGAATGTCGTCAAAGAGGATTTAATGAGGGTTTTCAATGAGTTCTTTCAAAATGGAGTGGTGAATGCAATAACTAACTCGACTTTTATTTATTTACTCCCAAAGATGGATAAGTCTTTGCAATTGAAGGATTTTCGACAATTAGTTTGGTGTCTAGCCTGTATAAGATCATTGCAAAAGTTTTATTTATGGATTAAGGGAGGTTCTTCGTGAGACTATTTCTGAATGTCAGGGGATTTTTGTGCAAGGTAAACAAATTCTTGATGTTGCTTTGATGGCTAATGAGGTGGTTGAAGATTATAGAGATAGAGGAAATGAAGGTTTTATTTGTAAGATTGATTTTGAGAAGGCCTATGACCATATGAATTGAGAATTTTTAGATTATGTCATGAAGTGAAAGGATTTGGTGGAAGATGGAGAAGGTGGATTTTAGGATGTTTGAATTTTTTGAATTTCTCAATCATGATTAATGGGAAGCCTAAGGGTATTTTAAAGCAACTAGAGGTTTGAGACAGGATGACTCATTATCACCATTTATTTTTATTTTAGTTGCTGATGGATTAAAAAGATTAGTGAGAGGACGGAGGGCTGTAATCTTGTTGAAGGATTTCAAGTGGGAAGGGGTAGGATAACAATATCACATTTGCAGTTTGTTGGTGATACAAAATTCTTTTGTGGGGGTGATGAGGAAAAAAATATCCAGTTATGTAATTGGATATTCATTAAGTGGAAATAATTTCTTATAAATTTTTAATACTAAAGATTAAATTGGATTATATTTACATTCATATAATATTTGTATTCGTTGTGTTGGGATCAAATGCATTTATGAAATTTATAATTTATTGATACATCTTTACTATTGTTGTTTTTATTTAAAAAAAATTAAATTAAATACTAGTGTGGTCAAAATAATTTTAATAACATTATCGGTATCGCTCTCACAATTCCTTTTCCCATTGTTTAACGTGTCAAATGATGTATTTCTAGGATATAATGCATGGATGATGATAGTTATATTTTTTTAGAAATTTGCATGATTTTTTCAAAAATTTTTGGACTTTCTATCTAGTGATTTGAGCTTATCGGCCAATGCCACACCATGCCACAACATTGTGACTGATGTGTCTCAATACCCTCTGAGTCGATGATCGATACCGTGACCTTGAACCATGGAAGACACCCTATATACAGATCTTCATCCTTTGCAGCATATGAAGCCGTGTATGAGCCCCCCAACAGGATCTCTAAAACTAGGCCATTCCTTTCAAGAGCTACTTCAAGGATTCAATTTATCCAACCATCTGATCAAGATCAAAACTTGGTTTCATTTTCACTGAAACAACCTCTAAAAACCGAAACGCATTAGTAATTGAAGATCGAAAATTCTAATCTTTTGGAGTGTTTCCTGATAATTCTTGTATGGTGTTAGTGTTTTTTCCCTTTGCTTAGACTTGCTGGTTTAAGTTTTTTCGATTTCTATATTCATTTGATGTTGAGGTTGAGTTAAGATGATTGGGTTTTGTACATGATCACAAAGTGTTCGTAGTTTTGCTTCAATGAAAAAAAATTCATCGCATGGTTCAAGGTTGCTAAGTCCTATTACTTTAGCAAAAGGCTGATTCGGAACAATTGGTAGGTACTGGCCGAGTGTTTTGCTTCTGGAACATGTTGTGATAGTTGTAGCTACATAGATCGTCAAGATAACATTGAGAATAAGCCTCCAAGGGAAGCTGTTGTTGAATGGTCCATAGAGCATAATCCAAATGCATTCAGGCCAACAAAGATTGTTGGTAGTCCACACTACAAATGCATGAGAGTTTCATTACAAGGCTTTGTGTCAAAAGGTTTGCTATTGGTTGCAGTTTTTTGACATTTTTGCTTTGTCTAATCTTTTTGTTCCTTTGCCAAATGGATGTTTGCTGGCAGCTAGAGATGTTAGGATTGCTGCTGGCAGTTTTTGGCCTAATTGCAATCAATATAGTTTCACGTAGATTCATTTAGTTTTGTTTTGGGATTAATTCCGAAATTTCCTAATTTGGTGCTAAGATTAACCCATCCATTACGAAATGGGGATTTTGAATTTTTTTGAGATTGGGTTATGAATTGGAGTTTATTGATTTGGGTGACCAATGATAGTTGGCATTTTTGTGTTTCAGTTTGTGTTTTGTGTTTGTGTGTGTGCGCATGCAGAGAAAATGAAGAAGGAAAATGTGTGTGTGTGACAGGTGGTGTGAGAGAAACATGATGAAGAAGGGGGTGGAGGAGGAGAATGGAAGGGCATAAACATGGTCAGAAATTTGCAAGGATGCAGCTGGAGTAGCAGGTGTATACACCTCTCTCAACTGTGTGGGTGTGTGTGTGTGTCTGCCTTTTTTTCTAGGGTAATTATCATTGACACCACCTCTTATCTAGACATATTTTTAATGAGATCCCTTATGTTTTTTGAATTTTTTTACGTATTAAAATTCGGGTGGATTAAAATTTGATTCAAGCTAATGAAATTTCATTTTTACGCATTAAAATTTGAGCCGATTAAAATTTGATTCGAGTTGATTAAAATTTATTTTTAATCAGCTCGAATAAAATTTTAATCAACTCAAATTGAATTTAAATGGTCTGAATTTTGATATATAAAAAAATATAAATTTTAATATGTAAAAAACGAATTTTAATTAGTTTATATCGAATTTTAATTGGCTTGAATTTTAATACTTAAAAAAATATAAATTTTAATTGATTTGAATCGAATTTTAAGCGGCACTAGCAAGCTTAGATTGTGCTCGAATCGGCTTGAATTTTAATATTTTAAAAAAATTAAAATTTATGTCCCTTGAATTGAATTTTAATCGAATCAAATTTTAACAGGTAAAAATAAATTTTGAATAGTTCGAATTTTAATGTGTAAAAAATTAAATTTTATTACAAGTCATTTTTTTAGACAGTATAACGTGTCTAATACGTTATCATTCCATAAAAATTTTAACGGTCTATTCATGTAATGGTTAAAATGACACGAATTGAATATTTTAGAAATCAAATTGAAAAAAAATACCTACTTTAAGGACGAATAGTGCCATTAACCCCCCTCTCTCTCTCTCTCTCTCTCTCTCTCCACTATAGTAATGGAGCACTATTAAAGTGAACATTTGCTTGGTAATTTTTTTTTTTGTCAAAAAGAGTTGACAGAATGGAGTGGAAAAGAAGAAAAAAAAAAAAAAAAGAAGGGAAAGCAAACTGCATTTAAACAATAGGGGCCCACACGTGTTCATAAATTGTGAGAAATAAAAAGGAAAGCAACTGCTTTCCAGTGCGGTAGGGAAGGGGGTTTGGAAATAGTTGTGCTTTCAAAGGAAATTTTGCCAATTTCTCTTAAACAATAACATATTTTTTTTTGGTCATATTTTTTTTAGCTGATAATATCTATATAATAAAGTACAATATAATTCAAATATCAAAAAATAAACAAAATAATTTTTACTTTTCACGGTTGAGATATTTTTAAATTTTATTTTAAATTAATCCGACGGTTAATATTAACACCCCAATTTTAATAGGAAAAATAGGTTCTTAAAGATGTGTTTAAAGTGACTTTTTAAAAGTGTTTTTAGGACTTATTTCTCATAAGTACTTTAAAAAAAAATAGTATTTGAAACTGTCGCACCATCACCTCTACTACCACCACCCCACCACAATCACCACTACCACCACCACCGCCACCACAATTATCCCCTCCACCACCCCACCACCACTACCTCCACCTCCATTGCCACGGCCCCACCGCCACCATCACCACCTCCATCGTCCTACCCCTACCATCACCACTGCAACCACCACCTCCACCGTTCCACTACCACCATTCCCACCACCATTGTCCCACCTTCACCGTTCCACCACCACCCCCAAGATCATAATGAGTTGGAATTCAAATGGAATCATGGCATTGAAGATTCTCAAAATGAAGGGCTACAAGTCAGTGTACTTGACATGCTACGTTCGCATAGAGGATTAAAGAGTCTTAAAATTGAGTTATACAGGGGCATCACATTTCCTAGTTGGATTGGGGATCCGTCATTCTCTAAAACAGTGTACATTAGTCTCAAAGGTTGTACAAAATGCATCTATTTACCATCACTTGGCCAACTACCATTGCTCAAAGAACTATACAAAAAAGACATGCATGCAGTAAAAAGCNAATGCATCTATTTACCATCACTTGGCCAACTACCATTGCTCAAAGAACTATACATAAAAGACATGCATGCAGTAAAAAGGGTGGGTGCAGAATTCTATTGCAGTGGTAGCACTCTGGAGATTCCATTTCCATCACTCGAGATTCTACTGTTTGACAAGATGCTAGAATGGGAGGAATGGTCTTTTTCCTATGATGTTGATTTTAGAGGACTTTTCCCCTGCCTTCGTGAGCTTACTATATGCAATTGTCCTAAACTAGTGAGTGTTCCACTCTTAAGACTTCTCTCTCTTCTCAAGTTAGAGATAGAAAATTGTGATGAGGTGGTGTTGACAAGTTTTACCCAATTGCCGTCATTAAGCAGATTGAAAATTAAGAATATTTCGGGAATAACTCATCTGCAAACAGAATTCACGAATGGGTTGGTGTCACTTGAAGATTTGGAACTTTGGAATTGTGTCGCGTTGGTAACTTTGTGGCAGAATGGGATTACACCAGAAAATCTTTCCCGTTGCAAACGCCTAGCGATCTTGCATTGTCCTCTACTTGTGCAACTGTTGGAAGAAGACCAAAGGCTACCTTGTAATCTTGAACGTTTGGAAGTATGCTTCTGTGAAAATCTAGAGAGATTGCCTTTTGGCCTGGAAAGCCATACATCTCTCAAGAAGGTGGATGTCTTTAAGTGCCCAAAGCTAGTCTTTCTTCCGGGGCCGTCTCCCGTCCATGCTTACACATCTTTCCGTTCAATATGCTGATTCTTTGGAGTCCATCCCTAATTCCATCGCTTGTCTTGAAGATTTGGGGTTCCGAAACTTCTCGTCTTTGAGATCTGGGGTCATATTTTGTTAGTGTAATCTGGCAAATTGAAAGCAAACTAATACTCATTTTGATATGTGTTCACCTGTTGTTCAGTATGCCCCTAAGCTTCCTTATTTTTTCTGGTGTTTGCAGCTGGTGAAGATGCCTCTTTTAAGGAGCAACTTTCTTATGTGCCAGGCACAGATGATTTTGGTTTGAATTGTGCTTGTTAAATATTTGCTTGCCATCTTTTTTTTTTCTCTTTATATTTTGTATTTTCTTGTATTATATTATTGTCTAAGAGTGCACTAATTGCTTGTAATTTGTTCAAGGGTATGTAACTGCCCACTTTTTTTTTTCTCTTTCTGTTTTTTTTTTTTTTTGGGTAAGTTTCCAACTTGATGTTGTAAATGAATGGTATCAAGTTTAGCCATGAGATTGTTATTCGAGAACTAATGAAGAATTTTGTACATTTGCCCTATGAGGACTGTAATATGATTGTTAATTATTTAGCCACTGAATTACTTCACAAAGTTTTCGTGATCAATGTGATGACTAATAAGGTTTATAAGAAGAAATTTACTATTGTACTGTATAGAGTTGTTGAACTTCCTTAGTCTATATGGGGTGTACTTATCTAACTGACCAAACAACAATTTTTGGGTCAAATTGTCAGCATGTTGTCTTGATTTGTATCCAAATACTATTTGTCAAGCTAACGGATTCAAATTATTATTAGATACGTGTATCGAATACCTTCTATCACATGCTAATAAATGGATTAGATTGGCGTTGAAGTGCAATCTATTAAAACCGAAACCCAGCATGTGCTATGGTTAGGACGCCTTATGCCCATAGACTGAGAGCTTCCCTGATCAAATCATGGTTTTCGAAGTGCATTCAATTGTCATTCTTGCATAGCATTAACATGAGCTATTACATCACATTGTCCCCCAACAACAAAGTCATAGACAAACTTTCATCAACCTTGCTTCGTCCAGCTAGGTTGCTCAAACTTGCCAAACGATAGGTACGGCGAGACAACAATAAGTTCCAGTGCTGTTTTAGGAATACGTGACCCACAGCATATATGATACGAACCTGTAGGAAATTGCCCCTTTGGTCCCTTTGCTAGAAATGGAATCATGGTCTGCCTCACTGATCCAAGCTCCATTTGGTTGTCTCATTTTTCCAATCATGATCCTACCCCGAAGAATGTGAACCTGTAGGAAATTGCCCTTTTCGGCCCCTTGACTTTGATTGCACAAATGCACACTCGCAGTTGTGTTGCTTCTGCAGATTGTTCCATTTACGAAAGGCTTTACACCCTCCCACTTGTCCTGCTTCTGAACGAGCCATGTCCGCCTGTACTTCCACACGGAAATGGATTTTGAGATTATGGTCTTTTATCATATCCAGTGGAACACACTGCAATGATGAACAGAGTGTTTTGTTCCTTAGCTATACAAAGTTGTGGGGATAATAAGATACCAATAGCCGATATATTTATGCTATCTTTCTTACAGGTGGTAGATTATTTCGGAAGTTTATTGTGCTGGCCGTGCCACCCCATGTCTCCAATTCTGGCTGGGTTTGCTGACAATATGCCAATTGTAATTTTCCTTAGGTCCATGTGGATGTGGATATCTCCAATCCTAGCTAGTTTCTCTTGCAAATGTTCAAAAGGCTGATTCGGAATAATTGGTAGGTACTGCGAGTGTTTTAAGACAATGGCTATGAAAGGGCATCTAGTGGAGAAGATAAGACACACTCAAACCCCCCAAAAGCCCATGACCTGGGCATGGTTAGGAGTAGTTTTTAGATTAGTTTTAGGAGTAGTTAGTGCAGTAACCAATAATATTTTATTTAGCCTTTTATAACCAAAGACCATTCAATTGAATTAATAAAAGAATCCTTTTTTATTAGTTCTATGTTATTTCATTTTACCCTTGCATAAGTGTAGTTTTTCATTGTTTCTTATCCAAGAAATTCTTAAAACAAGAC